TCTCTCTGTCATCGTGCATTGGTAAGCTCATGGAGAGAATGATTAATGAGAGACTCATGTGGTGGGCCGAAAGTGAAGAAAAGTTTAGTCAATCTCAAAACGGTTTTCGGAGAGGAAAATCCTGTACGGACAACCTAACTAGGATAGTTTCGGACATTAGGGCATCTGTGTGTGCTGGAGGGTATACCTTGGCGGTTTTTCTCGACGTTTCATCCGCATACGATTGCGTCGATTACCGCATCATGATGGATAAGTTAATGGCGCAAGATTGCCCCGCCGGTATTGCCAGGTTCGTAAGTCGCTGGTTATACCGGAGAAAAGTTCGATTTGTCATTAATTCACGCGAATTTTTGAATAGATGGGTCTTTAGTGGGCTCCCGCAGGGCACTGTTCTTAGTCCTCACTCAGGGCCTCTGTGCCGATCTTCCGGAGGGTGTAGAAGCTGTGGAATTTGCGGATGACATAGGCCTGTACGTAAGTGGCCCAAATCAAGACCGAAATAAACTACTTCTACAACAAGCAGTAAATATGGTGGCAGAGTGACTTCGTGGGATTGGTCTCGATCTCGAGCCAAGGAAGACGGTGCTGGTAGAGTTTTCCAGGAGTGTGGCTTTGTGGATAAGAGACGAGCATTCGTGTGGGCGATTACGATATACCCAACAGCGGCGGGGCTAAATTCCTCGGTATCTGGCTGAACAACCGCCTGAAATTCGATCGACAAATACAGGAAGTAAGAGAAAAGGTAAATCGTGCTAACTCTATTATGAAATATCTCTGTAAGGTGACCAAGGGCATGGAAGTCAACACGGCGCATATGTTGTACAAGAGCTTAGTCAGGTCAATTACTGACTACGGTAATTTTTTACTTCCCTAGAGATGCTCTGCAGGAGAAACTGGAAAGGACCCAATATCTCGGCATCCGCACAGCCCTGGGATATAGAAACAGTACACCGAATAACGTGATTATCGCTGAGGCGAAGGTAAGGCTCCTGAAAGACCGGGCAGCTATACTGGGCAGAAATTTTATACATAAAGCTATAGCATATAACCAGAATGGACTCTGTGATAAGCTGCAACGCCTGTTTGATTGCGAGAGTTATGTCCGTTTTCGACAACCGATGTATAGGTTCTCTCTTCTGTCGGACCTCTGGAAGAAAACACGCCCTTTAATGGCGAGTATTGGAACTCCTGGAAAGTTCGAGATATTTCAAGGCACCTTTGGCTCGCACACTTTTGTACCTAGAGTAAATTTCTCTGTCGGCCGCGAGAGAAAGGGCGCTAAAATTTCCGATCGAGAATTAATCCGAAGAATTATAGATGAGTATGGTCTGTCTAGGAACCCGGAGATTGTCCAAGATCCACGGGTGCCAGTGTAGTCATATGCGATCAAGATACCGCGTACAAAATTAGCATGCCATATTTATGCTCCTCATATACTGCGGAGGCTTTTGCCGTAAAGTCGGCTCTTCAACTGATGAAACTCCAGAGTGGGGATAGAGGCAGAGACATTATTATTTTGTCTGATTGCAAGTCTGTTCTTCAGGCCATTCATAATAACCATCTAAACGTTCATAAGAACAAATACATCACAGAGGCCAGGATTCTGATCTACGATTTGGAGACCCTATATGACAAGAATGTTGTACTGGCGTGGATTCCCGCCCATGTTGGAATCAGGGGAAATGAAATGGCCCACATACTGGCCAAGAAAACGGCGGATAAAGAGACCGACCCCTCTATTGCGGTCTCGGTGGGGGATCTTATGGCCGGAGTTAGGAGGGAGACGTGGGACGCCACGCAGTCATCGATCGTCCACGATTCTGCGCACAAGGGCACCTTCTATTTCGAAACATTTTATGATCGTTGGTCGGTGAGACCTTGGTTCCGAGAGGTTACCCTGCTAAAACGACGCTGTAATTACCGTTAGAAACGGATAGAACGTGCATTCTATCCGTTTCTGACTGCTTTACTATGCGTTTCTTTCCCTGCAATTACGGATAGAAACAGATGAAAAGTGTTGCAGATTCTATAAGACTGTGTACGCAAAGACGGTGGAGAAAGGCTAACTGCATCTAACTGATTCCTAACGGAACGGAACTTATCCGAATCTATGCGCAAACGTAATTACGAATCCTATCCGTCTATCTATACGCAACCAGTTTTGAATGTCTATCCGCATCTGATTGCGGAACCTGACTGAATATCTATCTGCATTTATACGGAACGGAACTTATCCGAATCTATACGCAAACGTAATTACGAATCCTATCCGTTTCTATACGCAACCAGTTTTGAATGTCTATTCGCATCTGATTGCAAAACCAGGTAGGATATCTATCTGCATTTGCATGCAATTATGATTTGCCCGCTCTATCCGTTTCTAACTGCAAATGCATTTTATTCATTTCTTATTACTGCAAATACATGTACATTGTGGGAGGTTTGTAGTTATCAGGTAGATTCTACCTTTAAACGCCAGGAGAAGGGATTCCTCCAGTTACGACGCTGTAATTTTTCTGGTTGTCGCCTGACAGAACGCCTGCTTATATATTATGGCTGGTTGTATTTTAAATGTGAGAAACGCTTTCCATCATGCGCCGCCTAGCGGCGTCGTCGCGAATCGTCGTCCATCTGCATCTGTACGCAATGTCGACCTATAGGAATTTGTTTGCAACTACGGATACGAATCCTGTATGTTTCTATCCGCAGTCTGTACGCATCAGATGCTGACGTTATTTATCCGTAATTGCGGATACCGCATCCATCTGCATCTGTATGCAATGCCAACCTATAGGAATTTGTCTGTAACTACGGATACGATTCTTGCCTGTTTCAGATAGGAGTTGAATTTTTTCTTCAACGTTGCTGTTAGAGCTGTTCGAAATCGAACTGCTGCCAGAATGATAGCAGAATTTCTTGAGCAACGTAATCGGATTATTTCGAATATTTCAAGCTAAATGTATTCTCGTTTCGAAGAATAAGTGCCGTGTCTCCGAGAAGTTGCGAAAGATCATAAACAGTGTCACGCCGTTTCCGCGTGTACCGATACGCTCCCTTTGTCTCGGGAACCTCTAAGCGAGAGGTAAACGCTCGGGACAAAGGGAGAGACAAACACGAAAACAGCTGATCGGTCATCGGCCCCAAGGACTGCCGAAATTGTCGAGTGACGTACGTCTCGGGGTGTCGATTGCCGATTGGCCCAGCGAAATTTCGGAGCGCGAACGGGGAAGCGGAGTGCGAGCTGATAAAAGCTCCGGCCCTCCGCGCGCCGAGGAACATTCGTTTTCCGAGTCATATCGAGAGAAAAGGTGATAATTGCTATCGACGACGACACCGAATTAGCGAGCGACTACGATTCCGCGTCTCGTGTTCGACTTATTCGGTCGGTCTCAAAGCGCTTTTTTTTGCTGCTCTCGGGATTCAGCTCGTGCTTCGAGTAACGGCTCTCTCCGCGCGCATTCGCCCGCGAGAATAATATCGATCAAGATTTGTAAAATAGCTGTAAATATCGTTCATTATAGAATTTTGTTATAAAAGGATAAACTCTTCATTGACCTTTGAACTCTAAATCCCCAAATCCATTCGCGCACAGAACAAACAGGATTTCGTTAGATATTACCAGCGACTATATAACAGCAATGTTGAAGAAATATTCAACTCCTATCTGAAACAGACAGGAATCGTATCCGTATAGTTACGGACAGATTCCTATAGGTTGGCATTGCATACAGATGCAGATGGATGCGGTATCCATAATTACGGATAGATACCGTCAGCATCTGATGCGTACAGAATGCGGACAGAAACAGACAAGTTTTTCTATTGCAAAAACTTATAGATGCTGTATGCCGATAGATTTCCATTAGATACAGTTATACGTCGTTACATTTTCTGTCTGTATTTGCAGATACAATAGTGCTGCTTACAGAAACGGATAGGGCTAGAATTTTCTTTTTAAGCTTGCAGTTACAGCGGATAAGATTCCGTTACATACCGTCAGAAATTCTATCTGTTTCTAACGGTAATTTTTACCAGGGTAACGCAAGCAGATATTTTGTTACTTTGATCAATAGACTAAGATCTAACCACTACAATCTGGAAACTTCTTTGAAGAGAAAAGGTTACGTGGATAGCGCAAGATGCGATTGCGGTTATGAGAGTGAAGATTTATAACACATACTTACCAGATGCCATAAATATGATGAGCAACGAATTAATATGGATATAGAATTAAGAGCTAAGGGATATTTGGAGGAGATTGACATCTGCCATCTCATCAGGACAAAGAAATGGGATGTTCTGCATATTATTTACTCGTTTTTTAAGCAAACCGATAAAGTCATTCAACTAGAAACTTATGATATACATTTCGGGCTTAGTTCTAATGTGCTAATAACCCTCTGGGTTAAAAAAGCACCATAATAATTCTCAACCGAGGACGCTTGAAAAATCCTCCTAGTGACGCGCTTTAAAAGTATTTAACTGTTTAAAGCGCGTCACTAACCTACATAGGTTAGTTGACGCGCTTTAAAAGTACATACTCTCTATATTCTCTACTTTAAATAACTTTCCTTTCAATATATCAACAATTCACTGCTTTAAATAATTTTCCTTCGTTCATACATATACTATTTCCACATAAATATCAATTATTTATGTTTATTAGTACTCAAAATAACTGCTATATTTTCCAAACTTTTTTTGTTTATAACTTTTTAACAAATAACGAACTCGGGCTGAAACCTTCTGAAGGTCACTGAGGAAGGTGACTTTGACAACATACTAAAATATCAAGGTCATCCAAGGTGATCCCCCCCATCTAAACAATTACCCAACGATTATTTCATCTTCCATGCGTGGATATTCTACAGGGTGTCTGGTAATTACCGTTAGATGAGCTTATTATTTCCTTAAATAACGTTTGTTTTCTTTACAATTGCTTAAAACCTCGATCAAATTTTTGATCTTGTAAGAGAAACTTATTTTTTTATTAAAATCAAATTTTGATTTTTTTTAATTATTTTAATTTTTTAAAATTATTTTAAGAAGACAATTTAATATCTTCAGCGAGCTATAGCTCTCTCAGATCATTGCGAATTGTCGGTTGCGGAATAAAATGCGGAATCTATAGCCGGTTTCACTTACAATTAGTTGCAAACGAACAGATACTTATATCTCTGACGCTTACCTTACTATCGCAAACAGGCAGCAACTGTGAACGGTAAGCGTAATGTACATCAGATCGGCGCCAATGATATTTAATACAGTCGTTGTTGTCGTCGTACTACTGTGCAGCCACAACCATAGCCAGTGAGTCTGAACGTCAATCCCGTAATCAACGTCGTAGGCTAGGCTTCTCGCGCGCGTCCCGTTGTGGGGTAAGATGATGTCCAGTACCGGCGAGATCACCGGTGTCATGATAAAGCACATGACTGCGTTACACAACATAGCTGAAAAGGCAGGTATAACAATATACATACACGCTTGCTACGCCCGGCGCGACGCGACAACCCTTCATACTTGAGTAAATGATGCACAACGTTCTCCCCTTCGACGTGTAATTCACTAAAATCTCATACTCCTTCGCCGTCGGATTTATTTTCCAGTCCATTTCGATCTGGCGCAGTAACTCTTTCACCTGAAAACGGCATTTCATGAAGAGATGCGCGGCTTTAATCGAGAATAATGTATTTGCGTGAATTTCATTCATGCTCCGCGCCACGATCAAACGACTTTAAAAATAACGTGCAAAATGATAACGTCGTAATTATTAACCTGCGATTCACATCGTACGCTGGTCACTACTTTAGTCATGCTCACTAAAATACCCACGATAGGAGGTATACACATGCACACGGCGTCTATGTCCTTCCCCCACACGTCGTACAATCTCTTCACCTATACATAAAAAATACGAACGATAAATTCGAGTATTTTTTTATTCCAGAAGTTGACACTGTCTACTACCGTGAAATTAACTTGCGCGGAATTTCGGCGACCTTTCTCAGTATGTATTAAAATACTTTTCATTACGAAATGCTTTTTTTACCTGAGGCGGAAAAAATGTGAACATTACGAACATGCTGACCGATGGGATGATCTTTTTTCTAAGCTGCGACTGATATGGCCATATACCGACCATCGACGCAAACAGTTTAGTTATATAATAGCGCGTGTCGAACAACGCATTCATGTTAATCTGCCAACGTACTGGAAATTTGTGGGGGAAAAATTGTACGAAGGGGGACGCTTTGACGAGAGGGAGGAGCGGAGCTGTTAGTTGCACAGACGAATCATCAGTAGACAATACGTATTTGTCCCCGTTGCGTCACGTTGACAAGCTGTACTTAACGGAATTACATGATCCGAAATATGAATTTTTCATGCTTCAGCAAGGTAAAAAAAGAGAAAGAAGAAGCGGATAAAAAATATATACCCAGAGTAGACATGTCTAATATGTAGCCAGAAGAATAGAATTAATTCTGAGAAGGAAGAAATGTTAATTCTGGAGAGGCCACGCGCAGTTCAGTTTTCGATACAAGAGAGTAGATTACGCAATATGCGGCGGATAAAGTGTATTGAAAGTCTATTAGTCACTTCTCTTATCATTTATATCAATTTCTTTCATATTTTAAAAGATCAAAATCTAGATGTTGCGCGCATTAGAATTTCTTGAGAGATTTTTAACGAATATATGTCTCACGTAAAAATGGTAGTAACTTTATTTCTCCCTAACAAAATAATTCACAAAATTGCGTTACCTAACTCAACTCAAGTAATACGTATTTCAAAAAAGATGTGAAATCTTTAAATTGCGCCAATTGCAAAGAGAATATATATATATATATATATATATATATATATATATTATATATATTATATATATATATATATATTCTCTATGTGTATATATATATATACACATATACATTGCTTTGAAAAATAATTGTTGCGCAACTACTTATAAAAAATAAAACTCCAAGTGGTACGTATCTTTGTATTCCCATTCAAAGGTCTTCTTATTCCAACCCAAACTTTAATTCTTTTTAATAAAATTATATAATATTACAAAGAATCATTTTAATCACAAAGAATTAAAGAGATAACAGTACAAAATAAAAATAAAGAAAAAATTTTTCGGTTGCTCCCAATTTTGGACAGGGGGGTGTCCGATTTGACAAAGAATGCCCCATACATATATATATATATATATATATATATTGCACCCGCGCTGCATGAGCGTCGCCCAGTATATCCAGCCGTGAAGCGTCTTTGGCAACGCCCGTCACAAAATGTTGCACTCCGGCGGAGTTTTCCTCCGTTCGTTTACTCGCGCCCTCGCGAAATCGCTCGCGGCTCGCGGAAATAAAGGGAACACTTTATTGGGAGAGGAAAGGAGTCGTTTATTACTCACAAAATACACACACACACACACAGGCTTGATCGTATAAAAATACGTCCGAGATCGAATCTCGCGGGAATCTGACGGGCGTTGTTTACATGGCAACGCCTGTTGCCAAAGACGCTTCACGGCTGGATATACCGGGCGATGCTCACAGCGCGGGTGCAACACTACATATACATATAATATATATATATATATAGATATAGAGCGTCCCATTTTAATCAACCACCCCCAAAAACTTTTTTATTTGTGATTCTAGAAAAAAGTGCTTCAAACGAAAGTTGTTTGGTTTAAAGGAGGTCATATAATTTCAATGTAAGTCAATTTTAAAGAAGACTAATTTCTTAAATCTAACTTGATTTTTTTTGCGATAAAAGTTGTAGATCTCGTCGAGACGTTCTCAAAACATTATAATAAAGCTCTCTTTCGTTAAGGTAATTCTCCAGTCCTTATACTAGAGAAAATCAATTTTCTCTAGATTTTCTTGAAACTGTGAATATACGTTAATTTAGGTGTGCTTTATGCGTGATATAAATTTCAGTACCTCTTTCGGTATAAAAAATCAAGATACTGAGCCTCAAAGTTTCAATTTTCACCAAAATTTAGTAAAAGTTGAAACTTTGAGGCTCAGTATCTTGATTTTTTATGCCGGAAGAGATACTGAAATTTATACCACGCATAAAGCACACCTAAATTAACGTATATTCACAGTTCCAAGAAAATCTAGAGAAAATCGATTTTCTCTAGTATAAGGACCGGAGAACTACCTTAACCCTAGAAAGGTAATGTGGAGTAATACGTTGTCCCACGCGAAATTCAAATTACGCCCCTGACTTAGGAAAGTTAGTTTTCATACTGAGACCCTAACCATAATTCAGTTTAATCATCCGGCAGTCGACATCCGTCATTCAGCGAGTGCGTTAGATCCATGCAGCAGCTGTGACCAAAAAAGAAAATTTTTTGGGGTAACGTAATACCCCTACTTAACCGTTTACGTTCGACTTTTATCACAGTAAAATATATTTCAGATTTTTTGTGAAAATCGATAACAAAAAATTATACACTTTATAGCACTCCCCGGAAAATTCTACCCCTGTTTCATATATAATTCTTTAAGATTCGGTCAATTATTTCATTTTTGCTGTTCTTGCACAGCAACTGATTCAAACTTTGTAAAGTTTTTGTGGAGTTAATTTTACTGTTTCCATATACTTTTATAACTTTTGACTACCTTTCAAATAAATAATAATCGACAGAATCTGTTTTACTTTCCATTTTTTGCGATTTTTCCCATCCGACAGTTTTTCGTCATTTCCTCTACTTCAGACGTACAAAGAAATATGTTTTTTTTTTTTTTAAGAAACGAAAAAGTCGCTTACATGCCATTGAAAATTGTCTATTCGTCTTTCAAAATCCGTTGGAATTTTTAAAATCGGTGAATTTCATGAAAAACTACAGCATTTTTTATAAAAAAAAACCATTTCAGCCAAATTTTTGGTCTTTTGTTTTGTTTTTTGAAATTTTTTTACTGTTTTTTTTTTACTACCAGAAACTGATGATATTATCATTTTTCCTATTAAAGAACAAATAAAATTATCTATTACAAACTTTTTTAACAACAAATAGAAACATTATACATGCGGTACAAGTTTGGGGTAATTTATTACCCCGCTTGGGCTTTCACGTATGAGAAAATTCATATGTGTAGTATAGGTTAAAGTAGTCCTTTCGACGATACAGCTATAGTCAATTGTAACAGTCTGTCATAAGGTAATTAAAAACAAACATATTGACAAACATTATTATACAACATCCCAATAATTATAATAATATAACATGATTTTACACGCACGATTTAATCGTATTTAATTATTTACTAATTAAAAAAATATCACAATAGTAGTGCGGTTGGACTCGATTTATGTTAGGTCAGGCATGACGGTACGGGCTGCGTTCGGAAGCGTCACTCGGGTGTGCTCCCTTCTCCTTCTAACTTGCTAAGATAGAAGGAAAGGGGAGTGTGCTCGTGTGCGCTCGGGTGACGTTTCCGAACGCAGCCACGAGTAAAGTAAAGGCCATTGCACGTAACAAAGTTTTAGTTTTAATCGTAAGGCCGTAAGAAAATAGACCAATCACACTTGATTATTCTTCAAGCGCGAGGAGAATAATCGACTGTGATTGGTCTATTTTCTTACAACCTTACGATTATGACTAAAACTTTGTTACGTGCAATGGCCTTAATATGCGATTGAATCCACTACCTTTAACCTCATATTGGGATTTTCAGTCATGACGTAGCCGTGACGTCACAAGGCCAAGATGGCTGGCCTATTCCTGAAAGTATTAGAACTGTCATATGTAAATACATATAAAGCTTGTGTTTTTCATAACTATATAATTAATGAAATAACGGTGTTTGTGATAAAAAAAGTGCGATGGATGAAAATTTTATTTGTTATTATTAATCTTCAATTGATAACAAAAGTGTTTGAAATACTTTTGCGTTTAAAAAATTGGTGAATTGTTTTTACATACTTAATATACACTTTATTTTAACTAATATTACTCATTAATATTCAGTGAATATATTTTACTTGTTATTGTTCAGTTATTATCATATTGACTTACCAGGCAGAACGTAATATATAATAGTCACTCCTGTCAAAGTGCAAAGAACACATCACTGCCCACTTTTTGGTTATTCACTCTGGTTTTGCTATTTTCAAAACTCTCTCCCATTCTTTTCGAACATCAATCTTCTCTATATTTCTAAACATGTCTTTTTTCTCAGTATAAAACTTTCCTTTAGGTGGAAACATGTACGGAATCGCACAGAAGTATCTTTTAATCCATAGCTTTTGCAGTCAAATACACAGCAAGAATCGCGATTTTTTGTGTCTCTAGGGGAAAACCTTGCCCCTCTGTCTTCTAGATGTTCACCCATCGCACTTTTTTTATCACAAACACCGTTATTTTATTAATTGTTTATGAAAAACACAAGCTTTATATGTGTTTACATATGACAGCTCTAATACTTTCAGGAATAGGCCAGCCATCTTGGCCTTGTGACGTCACGACTGAAAATCCCAATATCAGAGCAAAACATTCGGTATAAGCTTTTATTTTCAAGGTACGTATGAAATCCGGAAACTTCAGGGAATATTTTAAGACATTAATAATGTATTCATCTAATCGCTAAGTACATGTATTATTGTATTATTCGTTGAAAACCTCGGCCATGGCGATTTGCATCATTCTATCTTTCTCGTTCATTAGATGTAAACAAGAATAAAATAACAATAGCACGCTCCGCGAACGCACATTTAGAATGACTTATTTCTTGTAAAGTGTCGGTAACCTAACCTGATTTTTCGTACACATGCCCCTTATTACTGTATATTTAACCTATATCAAATTTAGGTACCTATATCTAATACTTATTCTCACGAAAAGACTACCTTAAATACAAAGAATAAATATTTCATATTTCTATTTTTTTTATAGTATAGTAGACAGTATAAAGTTTTTATTGATATAATAAATAATTTATTTGCCTTAAACATAGTAAATAGTAGGGGAGACCGGGACGAAGTCGTCACCGGGGCGGAGTCGTCATTGCAATTATCTCGAAATCTGTATCCCATACAGCACAAAATGTTTTCAAAAAATATTACTGAATCTATACTATTATATAAAATTCTTACGGGTGGTGTATGTTTGAACGTTTTTAACTTAAAAACCATTGGACCAAATTTGTATTAAAACCATATAAAATAGGGGTAGAATTTTCCGGGGAGTGCTATAGAGTATATAGTTTTTCGTTACCGATCTGCTGGAAACCGGTTTTTCTAATTTTTTTAATTCTTACGCAAAATAACACAGGCATGTAGGATAAGTTGCTTATTTCACATATTATATGTCAACAGTCACTTCAATTCATGGCTTTCGTGACTGTCGCGAGTGATAGAAAAGTTTATTGCAGTTTTCTTGCAATAACCTGCAGTTAAAACGAGAGAAAGAGACAAAGAGACAGAGAGAAAGAAAGAAAGAGAGAGAGAAAGAGAGAAGAAAGAAAGTAGAAGCGTGATAAAGGAAAAAAGTAAGAATGTGTTTTAAATATTAGTCTCTGTTTACTTTTCTTTCTATCTCTCCAAATTTTTTATGATAATCTTATCTATATAAATTGCAAAAGCTTGAATGTGCAAATTTTTCTTTCTATTTTAATGATAATCGTATCTATATTAGATAATATCAGAAAGAGAGAGAGACAGAGAGACAGAGAGAGAGAGAGAGAGAGAGAGAAAAGTTTCTGTCCGTAAAAGTTTCTGAAAAAACTGGGCTTCCCTGCTTTCCTTAGCTCGACATCGTCTCTCGGGTCCTCGGCGTGTCTTCCTGCTCTCACCTTGGACTCTGCCCTGGTTTTTGAGCTGCAGACCTTTTTAACCTAAAGTCCCTCTAATAAGAGTCGCGACACGTGGAGTTTCGACAAAATTTTGCGAGAGAGATAGAAATATACGCCATCTAGAGCCCGTATCTAATTTGAAAGTACAAGGTTTTTATTATCTACAGTACCATTGTAACAAAAATAATTATTTCCTGGAACTACCCTATTAATCCTGTAAGAATAAATATTAGTTTTCTCCGGGGTATTCTTCCCCGATGTCGAACTCGCGCCGCTCAGTTCGACTAATCCGTGTTTCCCTTTTTTTCAATCCCCAAAGAAGGACATTCTGCCCGGAAATGCCCCGTTTTCCCGCAAAACCAACATTCTCTCTGGTTTCCGAATTTAAATCTGTTATTATTTTTATTATTCTCGTCGCACTTTAATTTGAAATTATTTCCTTCTTTGTTTTCATCATCATTTTTGTTTTTATTTTTGTTAAATTTCTTAAAATTATTACCTCCCTTCCTATCAAAACTATTCTCTTGAATGGTTTTAATAGCCTTAGCCCTTTTTACTGCTAACCTCAAAGATGTTATCCCCTCTAGTTGGAGAGTCCTTTTTACAAAACCATCGTAAAGAGCCAAAACAAATTGCGCACGCACAATTTTATCTCTAACCATATGAGAACATTCGGGGTAAGCTAATTGAGAAAGTCTTTCGATTTTCGAACCCAAAGAAGCATAATCTTCGCCAAACTTTTGTTTTTTATTCGTGAATAACGAATAGTAATTTTGTGTGAGATTACTTTCCCCAAAACGTAGCTTTAATTTTGATTTTAACTCTGAGAATTCTAAATTTTCTATGTCAAGTACACTCTCTAAAACCGAACGCGCTTTTTCTCTTAAACTTAAGAAACCAACGCCACGGTTTTCGTCGCGTTGCTCCACTGATTCGCGCGCGCGATTAAGTTGAACTGCGAGAAGAACTCTCGCAACGGAACACTTCCGTCAAAAACGTCAGGCTTTAGTTTATAACCCAAATCGAGTCGCATTCTTTCCGACGAGGAATTTGTATCGGTAGGGGAAATATTGTCGGAGGAACTTAGCTACGCAAATCTCTTCTCCATTTGTTGTATCACTTCGCCCTTTTGTTGAAGTTGAATAAAAAATTATGCTTCTCGCTCCTGATGTCGTCTCCTCTTTTCCTGGAACGTTCGTAATTCCTCGCGTGCAGCGCGTAACATCTCCGACTCGGAGAGCTGCTCCGGCGTTATCGCTCGTGGCCTTTTTCTGAGGTGGACGTCCGCCGAGCGCGTTGTAGCCGCCGTTGTCATTTCGTTCATCGCTCGTTGACGCTCGCCCGTAAAGGCTCCCACAGACCGAACGCGTCAAGCGTCAAGCAGCGAGCAGTAACCAATCAGCGAGACGATATTTTCTACGCCACTGCTGATATCACCTCACTGATTGGGTTCAATTGGGTTGCTGCTCGCTGCTTGACGCTTGACGCGTTCGGTCTGTGGGAGCCTTAAGGCTGATCCCGGACGAGTCCTCAAATGTTACGCTCGACCGCACGTCCACAGCACTCGCACACGCTCACTCAACGTTCGCCGAGCACTGGTAATTATACAGTTTAGGGGCCTCACCTCAAATATCGATAAACTTATGCTCAATCGACGCGTTTTTGCACGAAACGAAAGAATCTGGCAGAAAAAAGTGTCGCTCTGCCCCGCGATGCGAGATATTAAACGTTAAAGTTGACAGAAATCAGGTTATGATTCCTGTCATACCGACGACATGTAGCGACTACGAACATCCCCTACAGCTATATGCGCATGCTCAGTGGCCGCACGCGCATGCAGCAGATCACATGACAACTGTTTGGTTGGTAAGTCAGAAGTGTAACATAATTCGAAATGATATTCTTTCGGCGTATAGATTAGTGACGCTTTAAAAGTATTTAAGTGTTTAAAGCGCGTCAACTAACCTATGTAGATTAGTAACGCGCTTTAAAAGTATTTAACTGTTTAATGAATTTCGTTAAAGCAGGGCACACACACACGTGTGTATGTCTTGCTTTATAGAAGTGATTTTCGTTAAAGCAGGGCACACACACGTGTGTATGTCCTGCTTTATAGAAGTTGTGATTTTCGTTAAAGCAGAGCACACACACACACACGTGTGTATACCCTGCTTTATAGAAGTTGTGATTTTCGTTAAGGACGTTCTCTCGTCCTTATACTAGAGAAAATCGATTTTCTTAGGATTTTCTTGAAACTGTAAATATACGTTAATTTAGGTGTGCTTTATGCGTGGTATAAATTTCAGTACCTCTTCCGGGATAAAAAATAAAGATACTGAGCCTCAAAGTTTCAAAAAAAAATTTAAAATTCCATTTTTTTTAGTTTTGGCATTTTTTCCTTATAGAACTCGACGAGAGAAGCAACTTTAGTCTTCTTGGCCAACCTCGTATATCTCTTACCGTTTGGCCTGGAAAACCTTTTCATTAGTAAAAGTTGAAACTTTGAGGCTCAGTATCTTGATTTTTTATACCGGAAGAGGTACTGAAATTTATACCACGCATAAAGCACATATATTCATATATCAAGCACATATATCCGTAGAACTCTATGGATACCATAGCGCATGCACATATGGCTTCTGCTTTCTGCTCATGGCTCCTGCAATTTTATGTGCTTCCACCTTTACCCTCGCGCAAAAAAAGGAACTCCGTGTTACGAAAAGGAACTTGTTTATTACAATAACTCGTACAACTTGAGAACAGTACGGGCTGTTACGTCAGAACGAGACGGAAGCCCAAAACAGAATCAAACAGGCGAAGGCCGTAAACAACACGGTCGTCAAGGAACGATCCGCGATTTCTTCCCGACTCGCATCTTCAATCCGGAGAACGCTTCACGCGAAGCCGAAGGACGTTAACAATATTTAGGGCCATATTCTCTTTGCAATTGGCGCAATTTAAAAATTTTACATCTTTTTTGAAATAATATCACTTGGGTTGAGTTAGGTAACGCAATTTTGTGAATTATTTTATTAGGGAGAAATAATTATTTCAAAGCTACTATTATTTAAAAGCTTTAAAGCTACTATCATTTAAGATTTTTGGATTTACAACATACATGCGCGTGTACTTGGCGCTTTTTTTACCTTTTTTTGAAAAAGATAATTTTGTACTGATTCACCTTACATATAACACAACATGGAAGGAAGAATATATCATGAATTTAAATGTATTGACTTCTTACTCAAAGTTTTCCGTTTATTTTGTATAAAACTTATATAACGTTAGTCTATATTATAATTTTTTGGTAAGAAATATATACTTGCTCTGCTTTTCCTTTTTATATTTTGAATGTTTATTAAGCAAATTTTTGTAATTCTGTGTATTTCTCTGGCAAAGAAAAAATAATAATCACTATGTTCATTTATCTTGTAACAGAATCATATCGTACATCTTAGAACTATACATATATATTTATAATATGTATATTTATCTCTTGAAAGAATCATTTCTTACACCTTAGGACAATATATTTTTCAAAGATTATTATTAATTTCATAGATTTTTATTATACTAATATTATCACAACTAAACTATAAATATATATGTATATTATTATAAACTTACTATAAATTTAAATGTTATTTAACTTTCTCATTATTTAACTTTGAGCAATATAACATTTATTTATACTTTGTATATAAAAAATACTAAATAATAATTCTATAAAATTAATTTATAAATAATATGACCTATTTTTTCGTGATAAGTTACCAAGTATTTGTTTTTTTTAGAATGAATCCTTTTATAATCAATTTTTAGATATTTTCTTTTATATTGTAGTTAACCTTATAGTGTTTAATTGTATCTTTTACAGTAATTTTCAAAATTTATATTTTATTTATAGAAAACTTTTCGATAAATATTCTTCTTAACTGCAAGACTTGACTTTATTTTACTCGCTAGCATGCTTGTGGCAACCTTATTATAGGTCTAACTTATTAGTCAGATTTCAGATTAACGATTATTATAATTGGAGCTAGTGAGTGGAAATAATGGGCATCCAACACTCCGGTGTAACACAGAGTAGAAAGCTCACATTATACTTCAAAACGAAGCATTAATATAGGTACACCTGTTTATCGACGACAGCAACAAATTACGATTTTGTAGTAAAATGTAGTCGATTGTAATCTTCCGATTTTAAGAAGTATACTTAAAGCTAAATTTAATATAAATTGGCTCCTTAGTCTTTAACTTCGAGCTTACAAATTGGTTTGGGTCACATACCCGCATACTTTGTCTTTCTTTCTCTCTCTCTCTCTCTCTCTCTCTCTCTCTCTCTCTCTCTCTCTCT